GAACCATCTAAGCTTCGCTTCCCGCTTCTTTTCATCCACAGGGGCCACACCCACCTTCTCCCGAATATCTTCATTCATAATCTTATCCATCCTAGTGTGCCCGCACATCTACCTCAACATCCTCATCTCTGCTGCTTTCATCTTCTGGATATGTGAGTTCTTAACTAGCCAACACTCTGTCATATACAACATGGCCGGTCTGACCGCCGCTCTATAATGCTTACCTTTGAGTATCTGTGGCACTTTCTTGTCACACAGGACTCTAGATACTGACCTTCATTCCATCCACCCCACCCCTATACGGTGTGTGACATCCTCGTCGATCTCTCCATTCCCCTTGATAACCGACCCAAGGTACTTGAAAGTGCCTCTCTTGGGGATGACCTGCGATCCAAGTCTCACGTCTAAGCCCGCTTCTCTCGGCTCAACGGTGAACTTGTACTTCAGGTATTCTGTCTTAGTCCTGCTCAACTTGAAACCCTTAGACTCAAGGGCCTGTCTCCAAACCTCCAGCCTTTTGTTAACGATGCCTCGCGTCTCATCAATCAGAACTATATCATCAGCGAACAACATACACCATGACACCTCCCCTTGAATATGTCGTGTCAGTGCGTCCATCACCAGAGAAAATAAGAACGGGCTGAGCACAGATCCTTGGTGTAAACCCATAACTACCGGAAAGTGCTCTGAGTCGTCTCCCATAGTCCTAACCCGAGTCTTAGCTCCATCATACATGTCCTTAATCGGCCTAATGTAGGCAACTGACACACATTTTGCCTCCAGACATCTCTAAAGAACCTCCCTAGGGACCTTGTCATACGCCTTCTCTACGTCAATAAACACCATATGCAGATTAGGGGTGGAAATTCGGTACTTCGATTCGATATTCGGTTTATCAATTGTGTATACCAAATACCGTGCCAAAGTAGTTCGGTACGATTTGGTATTTCTTATTTTGGTTCGGTACGGTTTCGATTTGATACATAATGTATCACGTTGTGCTAACACTGCTAAGAGCCTAAGCAAGCAAAAATAAAATTACACTGCATTCCTAAAAGGTTACGTCCAAGTTGAATAAATCAACAAATTGCCATAGAGTCCAAAGGTGTGGAAAAAGGGAAAAAAGGCAAAAGGAATTATATTTTGGAACCATAGTAATACTAATCTTTAAGAATTTTGCTTTACATCTGTTTCTAAAGTGACAACAACATCAAATATTTGTAGCTAACAAATAACAATATGTCAATACATACGTTTATACTTTATAGTTTATACAGCCTTTTGTACCCAAAAAAAAAACTATTGGTTACAAAATACAAACTGAAGATTGAAGAATAAAGAAGTTGTGAACATGTTGAAGAGTTGAAGATTGAAGAATGAGGGTCAAAATTGAGGAAACAAGCAGTCACACTTGAGAGTCGTCAGCGCCGAGGTCGTGACGTCATCTCTATCACACTCGCAGTCGCAGACGATCTGTTCTTCACTTCTTAGTTCTTTCTTGAGACTTGAGACAAACCTAATTCTAATTCCTATCGTTATAAACAAGGGAAAAAGACTAAGAGAGTAAGGAACTTGGGCTTAGTGTTATTGGGCTAGAAATACAAACTTAAAATTTTGGGCTAGGCTAGGGCGGTGTAGGACTAGGATAGGAATTAGGAAGCACATGAAATACTTAACTAATTTGGTATTTCGGTATTTCAGTATACCGAAATATCGAAATCTTAACACCGAGGACCGTACCGTTATACCGAGTAACCGAAAATTTAATACCGAATTATACCGAAAAAACCGAAACTGAAATACTGAATTAATACTATTCGATTCGGAATTCAATTTTTCGGATTTTATACCCACCCCAGTGCGTATCCTTCTTCCTATCCCTTTACTGTTTCATCTACTTCCTAATAAGGTGGATCACTTTCGTAGTCGAACGACCCGACATGAACCCGAACTGATTGATTGATATAGATACCGTCCTCCTCGCCCTCTCTTCCACCACCCTCACCCACACTTTCAAAGGATTCCCAACTTAAAAGTCCTAATTCAACCACGTCTTACTCTCATTCTTAATTTTCGTGTTCCAAATTTGATTAACATATTTGATAACCCTCAAAGATGTATTTTTAGTTTTCAACATCATTCAATTATAACGTAAGTTATGGCTTCTTTTGTTTATCTTAAATCTAAAAACCAGAAAAGCATTTGCCCTTAAAATTATTGTTAAGTTAAATATTCATACATTTCCCAATTATTAAAAACTAGCTCAACAATCAACATATATGCAGTGGTTGGTGGAACGGTTGGGCTAGTGCTCTTGACCCGCAACGTAGATACAACAAAATCTAGATTTGAGCTAACGATCACGAAATACAATGAGTTTAATACTAAAACTTTAAAGATTGATACTAATAAATTAAAATTTAGGGTTTGCCTCATATATGTTAGTCATAGATTAAAGTTTTGATAAAACAAAATATGAGTCTCAACCTAAATTCTAACAATCAAGACGTTATAATTTATGGCAAGAGGATTATTCAGATGGTCAGCATTCTCCACCTGCAATCTCAGAATTATGGGTTCGAGTCATCAAAGAAGCAATAGCTTGAACAACAGGGGATCAATGGGGAATCAAAAGGGGTTAAGAATAAATAAAAAAAAATACGTTATAATTCGAATCATAGTATCACAAGCGAATTACAGTGATATCTCGGATCTAATATCGTGTTACTTATTTTGAAAATAATTTTAATACGAAACCACCTAATCTACTCTCAACCTCAGTTTCACCGGGCTTTCATTTTCCTATTCAATCTCTAAAATATTATTTTAATTATCTAAATATCAGGTTTGGAATTATCCTTAAGTAGGAGTGACTCCAAAGCCAGTCAGCAATTCGGTTGGACTGTTTAAGGAAGCAGATAAATTAATATGGAAGAAAATAAATTGGTAGGAAGACCAAAGGTTGTGGACATTTTCATCTTCTACCCACGGCCCACGTAGAGAAAACGCGTGTGTTACAATATTAGGATAATATTGATACGTGGCACAAGAAGATAGGAAGGAATCAAGGACAAGACGGTCATTTCATGAAATATCATCTCCTTTATGTGACAGATGATGATAAAAAAGAGGCAAAATACATAAACAACTCATTAAAGTTATCCAAAAAATAGGTTTGCACATTTAAATTAAACTAGTATTCTTTCACCTCATATTCTTATTCGGAGTGAATTAAATAACACCCTAAAGGCTTATATGAAAGAAAAATAAAAATAAAATAAAATGAAAGCCCATAAAATTTTAATTTGATAAATACCGAAGTACCATACCGAAACTGAATTTTTTGATATTTGGTATTCGATATGGTATTTAGTTTAAACTTTTAAAAAATATGGTATTAGGTATGGTATTTGATATTTTAAAATGAAATGTCAAAATATGAATACCGTACCGAAATATATATTATATTACATAAAATACATATCATTAATTATAATATAAATATAAAAAATCTAAAATTTTACTTTTTTTAATTTTCTAAGTTCATCAATTAACTCTAAGCAGGTAAGGAGACATTTCTAATGATCAAATTTATTCTTTTATGTGTAATTTTCTCTCTCTAGGTTAATATTTACTAATTTTGGACAAAAATTTTGTCAACACTTTTTTAGTTTTGTACTTTTTAGTAAGAATATTATAATCTATGACTCTGTGCACTTGTTAGTATTCAAACCGAATAAACTGAAATTACCGAACCGAATAAACTTAAACCGAAAGGAGAAAAATCGAATCATACCAAATTTAATTAAGTACGATATTGGTATAGCATTTTAAGAAAGCGAATACCGAAAATACTGAATCGAAATGTACCCTACCGACCGACGAATACCCCTGCCACCAGCCTTCTTTCTCCTTCGTCTAAACCCCCATCCCCTTCCCTACCCCCTACCACCAGCCTTCTTTCTCCTTCGTCTAAACCCCCATCCCCCTCACTACGTCCTTCTTCTCTACCCCACCCCC